GAGAAGCGGGGCAGGCATGAGGGGCCGCAGCCTTGCAGCAATGACCAGGGACACGCCTGACAGCCCCGGCAGCGCAGGCGGCCAGCGCGGCGCAGCAGGTGACAGGGGCCCCAGGAGGGGTGCGGCCCACCTGCGGCGGCGCTCGCGCTGCTGCGCGGTCACGTCCAGGGCGCGCAGCAGGCCCGCATCGTCCTCCTGCAGCATCTGCACCCCGCACCACAGCCCAGCGTCAGCCTCCCAGGAAGCAGGCCAAGCCAGCGCCGGCACCCGGCCCCACGGCCTCACCCAGCGCACTCAAGGCCCGGCAGACACCTTCAATACCCTCGACCCGAAAGCAATCTTTGTGATGACCCACAGAGGAGGCGGCCCGCAGCACTCACCTCCCATGACCGCTCGTCAGCGTACTCGCGCTCCCAGGCCTGCCACACACAACAACAACAGGCTGCATAAGGTGGGGGTGAACGGACAGCTGCAGAGGCAGTGGGCGCAGCGCTGCTGAATGACAAGCATGATGGCGGGGTGGTGCAAGCGCAAGGGTCATGAGGACATGCGCGCTGTGAGCGGCAGGCTGACCCGTGCGTCGCGCCCCGCTTCTTCTGCCTCCAGGTCCCCATCCTCCTCGGCGTCCTGCAGGAGCGCGTCGGCAGGTGGGCCCTGCGGGTGGGGCCCAGCAGGAGACATGCGGAGGGCCGGCAGAGACGAGCGGCCAGCACAGGAAGGACAAGGAATGAGCAGGATGGATCGGCGACTCGAAGGACGGCCGCCTGCGCCTCGCCAATTGTGCAAGGCCCGGCTTCCCTGGCCTAGGATAGGCTTTTCACAGCCTTCAAGGGATTGCACAGCATTCTACTGATGCGGTCTCTTGACACTTGCCCAATGTTGAACAACTGTTTTCAGATTTAGGTTTATATTTACAGTGTCAATCGGCTAGCCTCCAGCTTGCCAGCGAGCTTCAGTCGAAGCGGAAGAGGTGGTGCCCTATCCAGGTCCTGTCCAGAACTTGAAGACGACGTGCTGCATTTGAAGCGGGTGTAGCCATTGGCATTTGAGGCGCCGTCTGTCTTGGCGGTTTCATCCATCCAGGGCAGGTCCTTCCGTGTCCCTTGTTACGAGGTGCACCAAGTGTCCGGTGGTGCACGTGGATTGCCCCCGCGCGCACCTCGTCTCGCCAGCTTGCGGAGCGCGGCGGGGCTCCTTGCTGGTGCGTGCTCCCTGCCCTGCTCCCTCACTGCGCGCACTTTTACTGCCACTGCCGCTCCATCAGCCCTGTTTGTGTCAGTTGCCACTGTCCTGCTTTCCTCTGGGGCTCTTTCTGACTTGTTTGTTGCACTTGCCATGCTGAGGGGTCTGGACCAAAGAGAGGAGTGTGGTGGGTTGTGATGGTGGTCGCGGATCTTGTTACACCTCTCTTCCCATGGAACGTTGTTGATGGAACTTTGACTGGGACGCCGGCGGCCACCATGTGCACTCAATGGTATTTGTGTGCCCGCCTTACCTGCACCACTGGTTGCTCTTGTTGGATGCCTCTGTCGATCTCTCGGTTGCGCTGTCCCCCCTGGCCCCAGCCTGCCCCGCTCTGCTGCCCTGCTTCCCGTTCCTGCTGTTGTAGTGCTGGCTTGGTTGGCGCCTGGTCTGCGTGCCTTGGCGCTGCAACCGCTCTCATGGCGCTCTCTTTTCTTGCTGCACATTTGCACCACTACAAGCAATGCCCTAGAGAAGACATGGAGTGCGCGGGCAAGCTGCTTGCGCTGCTTTGGGGCTAGGGTTGTACGGGAGCCTTTGTGAATCATGCCTGCGCTGTCTCTCCGTTGCCTCACCCTCTGCAATTTTTAAGAATCGCTGCACTGTTTTCAGGTTCTGGTGCTCACCCTGGCGGACCTTGTCTTTGTGGACCAGACAGCGCAGCGCCGGCCCCAGTGGTGCCCATGACTCCGCAGATCAGCCCCCAGCCCCCCCCACACAAAGGCCTGCCCGCGCAGCACCCCGCCCCGCCGCGCGCCAGCCAGCCGGCTGCCAATGGCGTCCTCTCTGCGGGCCTGTCTGCCCGGGGGCAGGGCGGCGGAGCGGCAGGGCGTGGTGCAGAGTCGCGGTCGGATGGTGGCAGCAGTGAGGGAGGGGAGGCGGGGTACGAGAGCGAGGGCAGCGAGGACGAGGGCAGCGAGGAGTACTGCAAGGGGGGGTACCACCCGGTGCGGCTGGGCGACGTGTACAAGGAGGGGCGCTACTGCGTGGAGCGCAAGCTGGGGTGGGGCCACTTCAGCACGGTGTGGCTCGCGCGCGACGCCGCCGCGGGCGGGCGCCGCGTGGCGCTCAAGATCCAGAAGAGCGCGCGGCACTACACGGAGGCGGCCATGGACGAGATTGCGCTGCTGCGCCAGGTGGCGGAGGGCGACCGCGGGGACACGCGCGGGGTGGTGAAGCTGCTGGACTGGTTCAAGCACGCGGGGCCGCACGGGCAGCATGTCTGCATGGTGTTTGAGTACCTGGGCGACAACCTGCTGACGCTCATCAAGCGGTACCGCTACCGTGGGCTGCCCCTGCCCATGGTGCGCCAGCTCAGCCGCCACATCCTGGCCGGCCTCGACTACCTGCACCGCGAGTGCCAGGTACGCCCGTGTCAAATCGGCCAGGGAGAGCGGGCGAGCCCTGCGTACTCGCCAGCGCAGGGTCTGCAAGGAAGCAATGTTTTGCCAGCTTTGCCACGAAATCTCTGTCGTGATGTGTTTTCGTTGCCCCGTCAATTATGAGCCGATGTCGGGCGGATCCTTCGAACTAACACCCGCTTCACTAGAGTGCACGCTCTCTTGTGGTTCAAAGACAGTGCTTGAAGGCCAAGTGAGGAAGCTTCCGCTTAGTGAAGGACCGGGGGCCTGAAAGTGCTTGAAATTGTAGAGTCCCCAAGAATGCGCTTGCGAGCATGGCCTGCCGGATCTGTTTGTGTCCAAAGTTTGAGATGTCCCCTCCTTCTGCCAGATCATCCACACGGACCTGAAGCCCGAGAACGTGCTCCTGGTGGCCCCCATTGACCCTGACGCAGGGGCCGACCAGACTGCGCGCCACCACAACCAGGCCACCCTGGCGGGCCACGCCGCCCCGCGCCAGGATGCGCAGCGCACCCCTGTCAGCGGAGCAGCCGCCAAGGAGGGGGCCGCGGCACAGGAGGGGGCGCTCACCAAGAACCAGAAGAAGAAGCTGAAGCGGAAACAGAAGAAGCGCGGCGCGGGGGGGGGCGCAGACAAGGGGGGCAGTGATGCCGACAGCGAGGCGGAGGGGCCGGACACGGGAGAGGGGGGGACGGACGAGGAGCAGCAGGCCGCCAAGGTGCCCTGCTACGGGCCAGCAGGCGCAGGCGCAGCGCAGCAGCAAGAGAGGCCGCCCACGGCGGGGGGGGCGGAAAGCAGAGGGGACTGGGCCGCGCAAGCGCCGGAGCCGGCAGGGGCTGTGGGCGGGGGACCTCCCGGGGCGCCGGCTGCGGGGGCGCCTGGGCCGGCCCAAGAGCACGTTGTCGCCAGAAGCAATGGGCCGGGGAGCGCGCGAGGGGAGGGCGCCAGTAGCAGCGGCGCGGCTGCGAGCCGGCGCGCGCGCGAGCGCACGGACGCGGCGTGGGAGGCGTGGAAGCGGTGTGCGGACCTGCGGTGCAAGATTGTGGACCTGGGGAACGCGTGCTGGACGTACAAGCAATTCACGAGCGAGATCCAGACGCGGCAGTACCGCTGCCCCGAGGTGCTGCTGGGGAGCAAGTACAGCACGCCCGCCGACATGTGGTCCTTCGCGTGCATCGTGTTCGAGCTGGCCACGGGGGACGTGCTCTTCGACCCGCGCAGCGGGCGCGAGTACGACCGCGACGAGGACCACCTGGCGCTGATGATGGAGTTGTGCGGGCGCATCCCGCGCAAGACGGCGCTCAGCGGCAAGTACTCGCGCGACTTCTTCAACAAGCATGGCGAGCTGCGCCACATCAAGCGCCTGCGCTTCTGGCCGCTCGAGAAGGTGCTCGTGGACAAGTACAAGTTGGGGGAGGCGGAGGCCCGCGCCATGGCCGACTTCCTCAACCCGCTGCTCGAGTTTGTCCCGGAGAAGAGGGCCACCGCCCGGGAGGCCCTCATGCACCCGTGGCTGCAAGGGGACGGCGGCCTGAGGGCGCCACAAGCTCTGCACGAACATGCAAACGGGGATGGCACGCAAGAAGTTGATGACCGGACTCTCGACCGGGCGGAACGAGTAGAAGGCGGGCTGGGTGCTCTGCGGTTGAAAAGTTTGGAAAAATGATATATTACCATTCCATCAAAAATGCCCGGCCAAATCTTTTTGCTTGCAATGATGGTAGTAACGCGAAAGGCTGGTCTCCAAATGCATGTTCTTATTGATCCTCTTGACAATTCATGTCGACACACGTATCCAGCCATGATTGAACTGCGCTCTTTCAATCCAGTACGTGCGTTCAGCCATCTTATGCAATGGGCACTACATGAGCTTGTCACACCATGAGCAGTGTCCAGATTTCCGACGGTCCATGGATGGTGCATCATGCATGGTTTATACATTGCTAATATGGGACGCATGCGTGTCGCGTACAGATTGTCTAGAGCAATCATTGAAGCTCTCATGCACGGGTTCCAATGTCACTCAATCGTGACTAACTGTAACTCCACTTGGTCGACGTTTAGCCGAACACAGCTCCGAGGGCCGAACCGACATTGATCGAAATGAATCCAATTCATGCAATTCATGCTAGACAACACAATGACTCGATCGAATTGATTTCAGCGCAGTGAATTGACATGGACATATGTCACATGAACGGAGGGGCTACATCATAATGTGACCCGGAACCTCTCATCGATTATACTTTATCACACAGGCGGTTTATATGCGGATTTACGATTCCGTGAACTCGGCGGTCCAAACCGCAATTAATGCATCGGCGGATGCATCGCCAATTGACCGAGATGTAGGATTTCAAGATTGCCCTCTTTGGAGAGTCCGAAACCGCGATTCAATGGCAGGAAAATTGGGAATATTAAAGGTTCAAAATAAATTGTGGCACCGTTTCGTTTCGTCCTATGGAAACATGGTGTAACTTGAGACTTAAGCTCTCCTCACCCAGTGTAACAAATTGCAACAAAGCAGCCCGATGTTTCATCGATGCAGACTAAAGTTAGAAAGAACCAAAGTTGGAAGACTTTTACGTTCGATTGGGACGTCGAAGTCAAGGTCCCGCTGCCGAGCTTTGGTTATGCCGCGCGCGTATTCAGACCACTAAGGCCTATATTATCAACAGGTCGAAGGCTTATATCCGATGAACGTATAGCCGCGTATAGCGGGCTCATCGAAACATGACAAGCTCAACATCGACTGCCGCCAGTCCCAAACCGCGATCTCAAGATTGAGAACCGAGGTGTGTCCTCGGTCACTCCGCAATGCAACCGCGGTCTATAGTGTCGACTCCCCGGTCTCCAAAACCGCATAATAAACCGCCTGTGCAATGAAAAGTTTCCTTGACCCGAGTCCTTCTTTAATGGAGGCCCAATTGACTCAGGTGATTCCAAAGGCAACTATCATAACAACTATCATAAGATGCATCGGATTGGCCTTCTCGTTCTGAAAGTTGACTTAACGCTTACTCGGAAAGTTTTGAATCAGCTTCGGCACTGAAGATGATCAAACGCACGATAGTAATACAGGTTAGGAATTAAAATGAGTTGTTCAATAACCTCAGTTTGGAGCCGTAGTCAGCTAAGTTGACTGTGTATATATAGTACGAATCGTTTTGTGCTACTAACCATGTTCCAAGGCAAACTCTGCTTAAGTGTTAAACTTTCCATACTGCATCTTTGTCTCGTGAATCTAGCAATGACCGTAAGCTTTGCTCCCCTTCACCTCGAAGGATCGAAGTTGGAAGATGGAACGCTCTTCTAAGGTTGTTATATGTTGGGCAATCAAATTCGAAATGGACCTCGTCCTCTACTTTTGCGGCCTAACACAACGCACGATATCTCTCTATGCGCGGCTTCCCGGCTTCCCCCGCCAGGCTCCAGTCCTATCGCTCTAGCTATGGCCAGAATTATGAGCCAAACTGCGGAAATGAGTGGGGTCCTCCGAGAGGAGTCCGGATGAGGGTGAAGCGGGAGCGTATGCGGCCAAGCATAAGGGCTACCCGAACTTAGAAAAGAGCCGGGGAATTTCAAGAGGTGGGAGTTCAAAGCAAGCGCTTTTTTAGGTTCATTACTAATATGAATAAGTGTCAATCAATCACAATGTTCAAAACATTCCAGATCCTGAGGAACATGTACCTTAGCTTTCAATAACTCAATTCACCTCGACCGGGCACTCGTCGGTTCGACTATATGAAATCCTATCCAAGTGACCGCGTCTCTGTACGGCTCACTCGGATAATTATATCACTTGCTACATGAGCTCGAGGACCACCTCGGACTTCTGGTCGGTAGTACTATACCAAGTTGGTCGTACTGCCGTACTACTCGATTCACAGATACACAGATGCATACTGATGGTCGGGACTAAGGTCGCAACGAGCCAAACACGCGGAACTTCCGAATCTTGAATTTAGTTTCAGTGTATCCTGCATTGGCTACGGCTATCACACATGGTCTTGTTTATTCATATTGTTTTTGCAACCGCATGCTATGTCGATGAAACAAAGCGGACTGCGCAGGCTGCTTGGATCCAAATGTGATTGGATGATTTAAACGTTCGGGAAAATGCTTATCACTGTCCGAATGGCACGGACCTTCTTCCCGGAGCACAACCACCAGCATGGCTGCCATAGCAGGGAAGGCAGCTTCCGGATGGCTGTGTGGTTGAAGTTGAGAAGCTACAAAGAGGCTTAAGGGGCCCATAGATCTGCATCTTTGAAGGTTTCCAGGTTTTCCGTTTGCATGTTCTGTCCAGCAGAACCATGCAAAGCATGGTGAAATTTCTTGGAAGTGAGGTTGAAGCCACCGCGCAATGACATGCTACATTTTGTAAAGCATGTTCCCGAACTTTCTGTGCAGCTGAAATACCTTTCATCAAGCAATGGAACACATATCTGAAGTTTCTAAAGAAAAGAACATGGAAAGTTTCGCTGTTCTCTAAAACCCGAAAAACCCCGAAACATTGCCTGTCCGAGAGCTCAGATGAGCTACCTAGCTAGCTTCTTTGATCCACTCCTATTTACCGCATAATCAACACAATGCAACCACCCAAAATGTACTGAGCAACGTGCAGAATGTCTAACAGAGAGACTCCATCTGTCCCCGCATGCAAAGTGGTTACAGAATGGCAATGTAGAGACAAATAGCACAATGCAGCTACAATTGCCATCGTTTGTTGCATTGCTAGCCAGATGTAGCTTGGCAGCTATGGCGAGCCTTGCTCGGTTCAACTCGCAAACCGTCGAAGCCTACTGTGACTTTTCGATGGTGACTAGTTTGAATTCAGTCTTACTTTTGATTTCAATTTAAACACCTGGATGCGGCCGAGAGCACAAGTTCTCAATCTTTTCAAGATTTGGCGTTCCAAATGTAACGCGTTTCAAAGATGTAAGCAGGCCCTCATTGTAACATTATCAATTATACCAACCGAATTAGGTTTTGTATATGGAACTTAATCTACACAAAGATTCTGGTTGGCTTTGTTGTAGAACGGTTCTATTGGGCACTGAGTGCTGCTCGAGGTACCGCATACAACTACCACAGGTACCACTTATTGTACCCATGCTACGGCATTCAGATTTTTAAGGTGGAGATGAGTATTAGGCAATGGCGCATCATCATGGCGCATTTGAAGGTTGAGATTCTACGCAGCAAAACCGCAGCTCTTTTAAGAAGGGTTCAAACTTTGAATGGGGCGAAGGACCAAGCGAAAGCTGCTTTCAAGTACAGAATGGCAGAGGGTTCATGCGGAATCCGACGCTACAAGAAAGGTACTTTGTTAATGAGCTCAATCATAAGTGCGATGGGGTGATAAACGACACTTTCGTTACTAATAAGAAGCACGAAGGGATTTTGACCCAAAACATGACCGACGTATTGCTGCATTCAGACACAACAGCACAAAGATTGCAACGTTAGAAGCCACGCCTGTCATTTATGGACACGCAGTTCGTTCAAGTACGTACGCAAGCATCATTCAAGCAGGGCTAAAAGGTGCAGGTTATCATATGGCGGCGATGTCAGCATTGTGTTAAAAGGAAGTGTTGACGCAGCAGTTTCTGGGGATCTTGAGTGCGGTCCCAGCAATCATACGTAGCAGATGATGCAACACATGTTGTGAGAGGAGGTCGACGATGTCCCCATAGTGGTAGCAAGACGCACATCTCTTCTTCTTCCACTCAAAGGGAGCTCAAAGGAGCAGGGACTCGAGCCGCAGGGTGCGGTCGCCGACGGGGATTTCGGTCGTCGCTGGTCCCCTTTCCCAATTGGAGGCCGGTGCCGAATGCAGGCAGTCGGGGTGGAAGAGGCGAGCGCCAGCCGGCGGGGGCTAGTCCGGGTAGGGGGCATGCCGGGTCTCGTTAGGCTGCATTGCAGCCTACAAGAGCTTTGGCAAAACCGAGTTCAAATTGGGGTGACCCAAAGAACATATTGGCCGATGCGGAGGGTAAGCCGAGGGCTTTTTTTGAGGAGCGTGCTCCGGGTATATGGGAGCCTTGAGAAGGGAGCTCCGGAGGAGACTTTTCAAATGCATGCAAGTATATGATGGAGACTCGCGAACCAATGTCGCAATGATCTTGCATCGCGGCCCCAAGCTCATTTTTTACGAAGACAAGTCTCCAGCTTATGCGCACGTTTGCGTAAGACTGCCACGCAACAGTTTCCTGAATTTTGTCTGTTGTCGTTTTCCTGCCCGGGGTTCATTGGTGTTACATTTCAGTATTTTTCATGTGCACGCTCTCATCAATCCTAGGCTTCGATCCCGTACATTCTACCCAATCGCTGTGAAGAGTTGTATGTTTTGTGCGCCGTCTCTCAAAAGAGTACGCACCGTTTTCTTAGCGGATACCATCAACTGCTCATTCCCGCTTTCCGTTCGCTTATAGTTGTATTTCTTGTAATTTACGTGATTGCTCTGACCAGCAATGAGCCTCTGCATACCTTTGTGGTTATTGTCGGTTATTGTTCCATTGACGAATTGCAGCTGCAGTACGAAGTCGATCCGCCTGAAAATCACCGAATTTATGGTCGCCGAGGGAAACGAGCCGTGTGTACTTTACGGTTTTGCAGGTACATTCACTTTGCGATTTTGTGTGGTGATCAAATCTAATGACGTCAGCATCCTTCGACTCCACCTGCGGCATTTTATGCTAGCAAGTCTTCTATACCTACATGGCACTTGAAGTACATTCAATGGCTCCTCTTCTTGTTCTTTCAAGTCAAACGCTCCTTCGACGGTTGTCGCTTTTTGTTATGCGTTTTACTACGGCAGTATGAGCACCTTTTTCACAAGCCAGTCATATGAGGTGACTTCCGTCACTTTTCAGGAATTTTCCGAAAGCCTAACAATAGATAACGGTAAATCTGCCAGGTTTCCAAAAGATCTTTGTAGTGGTCGGAATCCAAATCGGTCGGAAATCGACGTTAGGTCGTGGCAGCCTGTAGTAATAGACTGCGCAAAACGACATGACAAAACGTTGCCTTTTTTGTGCGGCCTAAACAAAATGGGGAACACCAAATGCTTCCGGCCTTGATTAGCCGTATATCTCCCCTGCATGCCAGCTAGTATTGAATTGTTCATTAACGTCGCTTTGGAGCCGTGATCAGCTTAGTCGACGCAAATCTAAGCTATTGCTGAAGTCTTTGCATTATACTAGTTCTCGGGCCTTTCATTGCGGAGATATAAAAACTTGCCCACAGCACTGTCTTGTAGGTTCAAAACTGCTTTCAACCTTCTACTTTCCTTGTCTTCAAAAGTGAAATCGAGCATTGTTCTTAAATTGATATAGGCTGGGCAATGATAAACGAAGTGGGTTTCGTCTTCAATGCTGCCCACATTGCAAACTAAGCATAACCTTTCACTACGCGCTTTCCTTTGCCAAGAGCCAGTTTTTATGGTCAGATTATAGAGGCCCAATGTGAATCGTGTGAGTGGAAGCAGAAAACGAGAGTGCGCTAGAGTATCTAAGTACGGCTTAAACGAATATCCTTGCTTTACAATCTCAAAATACGTGCAGAACTTTCGGCCTTCTTCTCTAAGATCCTGCATGTAAGCAAATTCCGAATGCTGGCAAAGAAGTCTGATATCGAAAGGCCCCATTGGTTGACCGTCTCATACCGGCTCCTTCGCTTTTTCGACGATTTTCGCGAACCAACCCCCGCGATCGGTAGCCCACATCTCCTTTGACTCCTCAAAAGCCAATCTCGCTTGTCGATCACTCATAAGCCTTCCAACCCTTTTGGCGAATTTGAAGATCTACTCCCACCTTTTGATGACCAACGAAAAGAGATCAAATCCGCCTAAAACCGCCTTCGAGAGGGTGGACTTTCTCACTCGAAGCACACTCCGCAGGAACCCCCAGTGCACTTTTTCCGTTTGCTTGCCGTCCCCATTCGAACCCCACTCCGGACTGGTCCTCGGGCCCCACACTTCCCCCCCATACCCAAGGATTGGACTCACAAGCAGATTAAACCATCTCACCCTCGTGCTTGGTTTCCGAAGTCCTAGCTCGGCACATCTTTGCTCCATGGCAAATGCCACTTTTCGGCCCGCAGCTGCTAAATTCTGAACCTCAAACCCCCATTGCAGCTGAATTGCACTCCTAGGTACCGGTAACCGGAAACAACGTTGACACGTTTCCCCCAATACACAAAGTTTTTGTAGAGAGTCGTAGTGTAGTTGCTTTACTCGTCATCGGGTCTTATCGTGTTGCG